CAGCCCTTTTTCTGATAGTAAAAAATAGAAGGATAGGGCTGTGAATTACTTACAGAAAACATCTCCCATAAGAAAAAGTGAGTTTATCCACATCTGTATCAGTTTCTTAGGGGAAGGTGCAGGATGCTCACCTTCAGTGAAGGGAAGAGCAGCCTCCTGGCTGGAGCAAGACTTGTTGTAAGTGTGAACAGAGCCCCAAGGAGCTGCTTTAACCACCACAGCAGCCAACACATCTTGCTCGAGTCAGAAATGAGCCCAGATACAGTCACTTCTCCAGGGAAACAGGCTCCAAGCTGACAGTGCACCCCACAACCTCTCAGTCAGAGGTACAGGTACTTGGCTCTACTTTCCAAACACCACAAAAGAAAGGAAAGCTTGATAATATCCACCTGCAGGGCATGAGGTCTGGGACAGAAGAGAACTCCATCTGACAAGCCTCCACCTCCAGCCTTCCTCTCAGATGTGGCTGCTCTCACACCCAGCAATGGTGTGCTCTTTAAAGGTTCATTCCGGCTCCTCAGATAGACCAGGACTCCACCACCCTCAGACTGGGATAGTCTGTTAGCCATGTGGGTGACGCCCAAACCTTATACCCATCAATGGAGTTAAAACTTGGTATCTTAACATTGTCTTCTGCTCTTCAGACAGAGCAAGACCATCGAGGCTCCTGGCCTGATTTAGGTGTTGGTCTGTTGGAGTGCACACACAGAGGTCACCAGATTTAGACGTCGACACCCAGGAATGTTGATGCAGGTGGAAACCAATTCCTGGAGACCCCAGCACTATCCCTTCCCAGCCTCCTGGGGCATTCAGGTGGCTGTAACTGCTCTGTTGAGCCCATCATCTCCTCAGCTAGTGCTGCCATGATTCCATATGTGCTTATCTTACTTCTCTTTATCTCTAACAAACCACCCAACCTACCTGTGTGATGCAGGACTGCTGCTTGTGCACTACTGACACGAAACACAAGTGAGAAACTGCTTGGCTACACAGTTTTGTTTTTTCTTTTTTTTTCTGAAATTTTTTAAAGTGACAACTCTTGCAACACTCACAATTGCTTACTTAAGATTCAGAACAATTCAGTGGCCAGCTCATATAATCCTTTTTAATTCCCCCTCCAAATGGAATACTCATGTTAAAAGAGTTTATCAGTAATCCCAAATGACCCTTGCGTTTCCATGACAGTTTCAGATCTTCTTTTCTACTCACCTGAGAAAATGAGTTTTTACTCAGTACCTACACACCAGTTCTGATACTATACATATTGTGTATGTGTACATACCTTGATATTTAAAAACAATTTTTTTTTTTTTTTTTGGCCAAAAAATGGATCATTATGAGGTTTAGTAGCAGTAGTAAAGCTAGTAGGATCATAATCATTCCAGGAAAAACTCATTCAACATCCTCTTGAGGCCAGAAGAGAGTTCCCTCTATTCAAGTACTACTTTGAAGCTCACTGTCAGAGGCCATGAGAATCACAACATGTACTGAGTGATGTGCAGCTGACATAAGGATGTAAAAATATGCTTTATGCTTTTCTGCTCCTTTTTGTCATATTACAATACACACACTCAGTTACAAACCTTTATTTTCATCAGATCTGTATTTAACACTTGTGGAGATGGTAAGCACAATAAATTAGAGAACTAGGATGATAAATTATCATTCCCTCCATCAGCCATACTTCTGACCACATAAGACTTGAAAATTTCCAAATGCCTCCATATCTTTGCAGAGATGCCCAAGGCTAGACAGACAAGATTCACTGTTGGTCGTCTTGTTCCACAAGAAAAATGTCTTTATTTTTAAGGGGGATTACCTTGAGGACCTTTTATCATCACTGACACTTCTTTCCTATATCACCTTCACACCCTCCAAAAAAGGGGATGCATGAGAAGATATTTGGTCTCATTCTGATACATTATACACTTTTATGTGAAACAAATTTTCTGAAATGTTTTTACACCATTTTTTATTACATAGTACTAAGAACTTGATAAAAATAATTACTGTTATATTAGGACCTTCCCCACAATCTCACTGATAGATAATAAATTTAGGTAGAAGAGCTTTCCTTCTGCACACATCAAACCTCATGACTGTCTTGGAAATGAAAGATCAATCAATAAATGCACAACAAAACAAATCTTCTCAAATGTGCTTCCTAGTTTGTTTATCAACAGGACTGTACTCATTTTGGCAATCTTAATTGTGCAGAATGACTAATCAAAGTAGCAAAAGCATCAATCATCTCATTTTGTCACTTTGAACTTTTGCTGTCATAATTTAGTGTTTATGCAAACTCTTGCATAAAACAAGAGGCTTCTCATGAGGCAAGGGGCTTCACTGCACTGTTGTGATGTGGAAATAAACTAGGATAACCTCTGTGGGAAAAAAAAATCCATTAGGTACAATGAGAAAGTTTGGCACAAATGCTTTCTCCTCTTCCTCTCCCCCCCCATATGCTGACCTGTATTTTTTTTTTTATGTTGAATGGAACTGTGGGTAAAGACAGTAAAAAGAGACACAGAGCTGGATTGTGGTCACCCAAGAACCTGGAACCATTCCTCAGCCTAAGAGCAGAAAGTAAATGAATGCTGTATTTCAGAGTTAGATTTAGCAGAAGTTCCATTTCCCTGAATAATTATGACACCTGATATTCATGGAACCCACAAACTGCTTCACATTGATAAGCAAAATTTTTTTTCTAAGCTTATGTCAGCCTAAACTGCATGTGAATTTGTGGCATTAACAACAGTGGGAAGGCTGCAGAAATTTTAAATTTGTGTTGTTCCTTGTCAAAGTTTATAGAATTTCCTGCCCAAAAATGATTTTCCTGAACCTATGAGGACACACGGATGGGTTATTGATCAGGCTCTAAGTCTTGCACCCTACAGCTCCTTGTGTGTTTTGCACAGCCACACACCCTGGGGATTCTGGTCCTGTTAAAGGATTGAGAAACAGTTCCCATGGATAACCTCGGTAAAGTAAAAATAAAGAAAAAAAATCAATTGGGGATTATTACACCAATGTGTAATTTAAAGATCATTAAGGCATGGCAGTGGTAGAGCTCAATATCTCCATCAAAACCCTGCCTCTAAACTTAAGACCAGATTCTGATCTAACATCCAGTACCTAATAGCTCCACTGACATCAGCTGTGTATTTCTAAGGAAATAATTTTAATTTTTTAAAACTAATTTGCAGTTGTAAAGTTAATAAAAATGTCTCAAAGGAAATATGAGACATCACCATAAATAAATTTCATCATGGTCCATACAAGAGTCAACGATTTCAAACCCATGTTACCTGTAAACCAAGTAGTTAAATTTTACTTCCACCAGACTATTAAGGATGTGAGATTCTCTGCCAGAAAATTAACAGTAATGTTTCCAAAAAGACCAACTTCTTATGCCTCATAACAACTATAACTATGCAAAAATTGAGGGCCACATCCACCTCTGATGATGTCAGCAGAATAAAGGCAGAACCTGTGGAATCGTAGCTGTACGGTATGAAACTATTTAATACAGTATTTTTATAAAAAATAAAATTGTTTTAAAATTCTATTGCAGTAAAATTTAGCTATACACCTAAATTATCTAAACACGTGCAGAGCTGCAAAAACATTCAAAGAGTCGTATAAAAAGCAAAAATTGTCATTAAGAAAAGGCATCTAGCCATTGGTACAAAATAATGTCTTCCCCTCCAATTTGCTGCTCTTTACTTTTCCTTTTATGAGTTAAATTTAAAAATTAGCCAACACACTGAATTAAGTCTGTAGATTTTTCATTTAAATAAATCAGTCAACAATTTTTTTTTATAAAGTATTTAACACTTCATTGTAGAAACATAGGCAAAATGACTATTATAACCAAAATGAAAAATACTGTTCAATTTAAAAAAATGTACTTAAACAAGAACCTGAAAAAGTTTATGATATGCATAACATTGTTCAAGCAAAATTGCACTAGTATTACATAAATCAAGAGTTTTATAAAGGCCCCAATATGGCAAAGTTTAGAAATAGGTAGTATGCATGCACAATAGTACAACAAAAATCTTTTATAAAACAGCAGTTATTTTTGTAATGCTTGTACAAAGGGAATAAAGAGCAACCACAAACATATTTAATCTGTTAGGTTAATATATTATGATAGCTAAAAGTCAGTCATGTCTAGCAGAGGAAGGAAGAGTCCTCCACAGTATATGTGTGAATAAGTCTTTTGTGCCTTTAAAGTTATGTATAAAATATTTCGATTCAGTTCAAACCTGAAAGAAATTGTATCCTTTATTTCCATCAAAATTAAAAAAAGGTGACTCGGATTTTTCCTCTTAGCAACAACAGAAAGAGACCAGGTCAGAGCAGATGCTGGAAACTGAGACTGATGCTTTTCACTTTGGGTAACTGGATTTTGACACTTAACCCAGACTACCGAAGTTTGGGCTTAGGTCAGGTCTCACTAGTGTGCAATTTGGTTGTGTTCTACCTCCATGGTACCACAGTTTATCTTCATTTAAAGAAACCGCTGTGTTTTGTATCCTGTAGCATCTCTAAACAGGTTAGACTGCTTTGTGATTGTGAAAACTGAATGCTGTGTTCATCTGTGTGTGCTTAAGTCTTGGGGTTTGTTTTTTTCCCTACTGCTTGGTATGGGTTGGGGAATTATTAATCCATAGGAAATGCGTGTGATTAAGTGAATAAACATATAATGGATGTGTAGGCAATGCCCTCTTGTGCTCTAGGGTGGCTACTGTCCTACAGGACTGTTGGAGTTCATACGCTTTGTCCCACAGCAAGTAAGGTTTCAGCTTCCAAGATATACCATTACTATGTTCTATAAGGTTTTAATAAATACAAAGCTTGTTTACATGGTATATATGTTTAGTATATCATGTACAGTCACTGAATTTCTGAAACACAATCATCGTGTTCATGCAGATCATTAGATGTTCCATTTCTATAGTCTCATTTACTTCTTGGCAACCTAAAGCTAATCCAAAAGCAAGTTATGTTTGTTTGTGAAAAGTTATCTAGCTTTACCAGGATCTGAAGAGAAATTCTAATGGGCACAAAGAAGAGAGTAGACCATTCAATCATTCTTTCACCATTTAAAATAAACAAAATTACACACTGTACTACAGCTTCCAGACTACAGAATGAAAAAGTGCAGATACCATCTTCATCGATTAAGGAGAACCAAAAAAAGTTCATAGAAAATAGATTGCTCATTTCCACGCTACAAACGAACAGGTTGTTTGCAATTTTAACAAATTTAAAGGTGTGTTATTTCAGCAGCATTGTTGTAAATTGTACTGTAGTGCAGTTTCTTTTTCATAAAAATACCTTACAAATGGTCAGTCAAAAGTCATCAGCAAAAGGAAAAACCCAGAAAACAATCAACTGAACAGAAAACAGAGGTAATGCTGATGCCAAAACAATTATAATACTGTTGGTACATAGAAAAGTAATCCTTATATTTTATACATTTATACAGAGTATAAAAGGTAACAGCAGGTTATGCCACAGTCTCCCTTATCCCAATATCTATTTTCTTTGGAAGGAGTTCTCTTCTTTCATCAACACTTGCTAAGGAGTTCCGACAGTTTTGTCCATCCATGTATAACTTTGCATATACTGGATTGGCATAATTTGTTGGCTGCAGAGAAATTAAACACACCTTAGATCAGTCAAATTAAACCAAAATAAACATTTATGGAAATGGAAATGGTTTTGTTAAAGTAAGAACAAGTACACAGAAAATATAACTGGACATACTTTAAAGATATACCTGGACTTCTGCAAACCTGATAATGAGTTAATCATTTAGTCAAACATTAAATTCATGATGAGACATGCTATTAAAATAAATAATGACATGACATGCAGCATATTATGATATTAAAACCATTAAAAAATGACGAAAATTAAAACAAAAACCTTGAAAAATGTCTCTGAAGTTGACTTGTCCACCTTATTACACTGGAAGGTTTCAGAATAGATATGAAGAAGTTTATAAAGAAGGTGCACTGTGAGACCATGTGACAAGTTTAACAGGAGAAAACTGCAACCAACAGTTTCCATATATTACCTGTTCTAAGACATCAGCATCCCATCAATAGCTGACCATGTTTTCGAATTCTGTGGCCCAAATATACAACATGATTTGACCAAAAATTCAATACTTTTGTAATGTAAATTAAACTTTAATAATAAACCAGCATAACTGTTAATATATCATAGCAGTTACAGATTGAGAAGGATTTTCTCAACAGTTTTGGTAGTTTGGATTGTAATGAAAAAAAAAATCTGCTGAAATGAGCGGTACTTCAGTACAGGACAAGTTCATTTTTAATTCTGCAAAGCACTTCAGTATATTGGAAATCTCTTGAGTCTGACAGCACAGAAGGATGAAAACTTACTCTCCTGTCACTCATGCTACGGACAAAGCATTACCCGAGGTTTATCATGTCAAGATCTTCACTAATTCCATCAAATTTTGTATCTTTATTGTCTCCTAGAAGACCTCCGTTATCCAATTAGGTGTTCAGCTTTTTAGCTATAACTGGAAAGGGTGACTTGTGGTCAAACTCTCAGTTATACGTGTCTGTCCCTGTTGAATTAGAGATCTTTACATTTGTTGTAACGATTATAATAAAAAAATGTAGGAAAAAAGAAATTTAGGTTTATTTCAATGGACAGAACTTATTATTTCATTGACAATCATCATTAAGGATGATAACCACAACAGAACAGAGACACATGGCATCTATATAGTGCCATATGAGGTTATTACATTTATAAATAATAGCAGGCTGTGTCTCATGGTACCTCTTTGAGTGGGTACTGATAGCAGGATGCAGTACAGTGAGGTACAGAAAATAACTGGAGTGACTTCAACAACAGAAAGAGTTCATGCCAGAGGAGGGTTTATATTCTATCTTTCATCATCCATGGTTCTGTGCTCCGTCAGAAATATCATACCCTCTACAACTTGTTAAACTTCCAAATACAACATACTACACTCATGCAAGAATGCAAATGGCACAAAAGATGGATATATATACTGAGGCACATGAAAATGAATGTTACATTGATGTCCCTTTTGAATACTCTCAATTTCAAAGTTTGCAAACATGATAAACTGTAGTCAAAATCTGATGGTTTAGAAGTAACTATTTTATGATAAAAATTGACTGAACAATAAAAAATGCCTTGCAAATATTACAGAGAATTGTACATTTTAGTGTATCAAATTCCTCTAAAATTCAAAGACGTGTTTTCATTTATTTGGAAACTTTTCAGTTTGTCAAAATTCACTAAATGCCTGTAATTAAATATAAATTGCAAATATATATGAAGATACATGGCTGTGAATGCTATGCTAAACATACTGCTATGGAAAAGCACCACATTGCTTACTGGTCTTGCATTTCTTTGCAAAAACACATTTGCATTTTTTGATCATGTTACAGTGATGGGTATAGACGAAATTTTGTATGTAGAGAGGAACATATTCTATATTTCAAATAGAAAATGTATTATTTACTGTCATTCTTTCCAATAAAAGAAGAAAAACAAACTGAAAAAGAAACAGAAAATGTCTCTGTTCAAAAATGACAGACAAACTTTCTTTAGAAAGGGACTGTGGTGGAATGAAATAGATTTGAATCATCATTTCTCACCCCTGTTGATAGTGGTCCTTTCAAGTCAGAGTTTAAGTAGATTGATGGAGCTGTGTGGGGAAGCTTGAATGCAGTGGGCCCTCCCCCTATGTATCTGGCCTGTATAAACAGAAAATTTTAGTTTCTGTGCTAAAGAGCATTTTCCACGTGTACTTGCCAACACCGTTAAATAAACAGTGCACCAATTAAAAGCATTATTTTAGAGTGATCCACAATTTAAAAAATCTACTAAGTTATTCTTCAGCATGAAAATTTTTTCCATTCAATGAGAGCAAAATTCAGCATTTGAAAATCCTCTTCCATTATGGATTAGAGCCTGACTTCCCAATGAGCACTGGCTCAGCTACTCTTCCTCCAGTGGGTAGCTCCATTTGCAGCTCACCTGGCGCTCAGCACACTGCCTGTGTGACTCAGCAATGGCATTCCTAGAGCTAACAGCAATCCAGTGACTGCTCTGTCAGAAATGCCACAGAACGATGGCTGCCCTTTGGTGTATGGCTGATTACAGAGCTCTAGGAAAGATATTGCAGCATTACCCCCTTCATCCCATGTCACATCACTCAGGGAGCTCAATCACTGCAACGTGGTGCTGCAGAAGTGACAGCATCTTTTACGAGAAAATGATAATACTTACTAGCTTTGTGTAAACATTTAATCTATCTACTCAGCCAGGGCTCTGAATTCTTTATGCCTCTGGAAGTTTTGTTATATGAAATAAGTTAGTCTCATACGTATGCATGCACTCTTTCACACTTCAAATGGTAGGCTGCAAAGTAATCTGTTTCCATTCAGCATTTGTGACTACACTGAAAAGACAGGTTGCAATCTGGCAGCGTTAGACAGATGTGTCTGTGACAAAAAACTCAGTTTTAACTCTATTTTGGTAAAACGCAGGCACTAGAAAAAAAACGTTCATCAGCATCAGGCAGAAGAACAGCTGTTAATATATATATGTAGCATTTACTCTAATAAAATCTAACTCGCATTCATATTCATCAACAAAATCTAAATATTATTGGTTCATGTTTCCATGAATTATATTTAAAGTTAAAACCTTTGTAAGACATGAAATAAGTAGTGGTTTTGACACTAGAAAAAGAAAATTTACCTTTTCTGCATTTACGGTAAAATCTGAGGCTAAAAGCCCACCTTCACTGTGGTCATGGCCCACCTCATACATGTTATAGGATGGGTTGCCAATTTCTACATTGATTCCTCCATTTACAATGGGCTGTCTTCTGATAGTTTTTGTCCTATAGTGCATAAACACACAGAAAAAAAGAAGCTAGTGAGCTTTCGATTAATTTCTTGGATACCTCATCCCAAAATAGTATAAATTGTATTTTATTTCTCTTTAATCATCCAGACCAAGAGGATAAAAAAGTGTTTCCAGCAGAGACAAACAGAAAATCCTTCCATTTTCCAAAGAAGCAATCTGACTCTTATGTAAAGATCTCACAAAAGCTGGAATTAGTTTTTTATTGTTTTTCCCAGTTTGACTGCAGTGGTATGAATTCATACAAAGTGCTCACTTGTTGTCTATAACCCAAACTTCCTCCTGTTATTTTCAGATTTCCCCCACTTCCCAAGGAAAGCCTTGTAAATTCATTGCAGGCTCCCTGCAGTAATGAAGATGAAGCAAACGTGAGTCATGTTCCCTTGCTCATTTATTACCCCTCCATTTGCAATCAGTTGCCCAAAGTCAGTTGGAATCCGAGGACAGGCAAATGGTTTCATTAGGAGGCATTAAAAATGTATGAACTTGTCATAGTTCCAGTTTGTATTCCTCGACAGTGGTTATGGGAAAGCTGAAATTCAACTTGAATTTTTTCAAAGTTTAATAAAAGATAGGGTCTTATTTTTGACCTTGAGTTAGGTATCAGTCAAGATAAGTGATTGAGTTGAATTTTTTTCGTCGCTGAATTTAATTCCTTTAGCTAAGGAGGTGATTTTAGTCTAAGCAACTGAAATAACCTCAAGAGGGTAATTTTTCCCAATGCAATTTGTTTTCTTGAGTTACAAGGGAATAATAGGGAGGTCACAGACAGGATGCTAATAGTTGAGTCCTCTTGTTTGGTTGAAAAGATGCAGTCAATGTCTGAAATCAAATACATTAAAGGATCTGTATTTTTCAGAACTGGCATTGAAACAATATTTCCTAAAAGAAGCACTTATCTGTGGTGTGGAAGCATCAAACATCTAGACCTAGTGTAATACTTGACAGTCTTCTCTGAAGAGATTAAAAAAACCCTAGGATACATTTTCAAATATAATTTTAAGATAGCAAAAAGTTCTTTATTGAGGTTAGTTCTATTTCTTTACTGAAGATCTATTATTTAACAAGTTATTCTCAACAACTTAAACAATTTACAGACCAGCAACTGCATTTCAGGGTTTGGCTATAATCAAATTTGCTTTTTAGGTACATGTAATGACATCCATGGAGCCTGGCAGGTTCAGCATTACTAACACAATGGTCAGGGAATGTATTTATCTTTAAATTCAAGAGAATAACAATTCACTGTTCAGTGCTGAAATTTGGTTTACCCACACAAGATACTAAGGAAATAAAGTAATGATGAAAAGGCTTCTTGGGACTCTCCTATAGACACTTTAAATGTTGCTTTACATCTTCACTACAACAGATAAAATTGAAAAGAACTAATCAAAGTAAATAATTTGAACTATAACTAGAAAGTGGAAATTCTGCACAGGTTCTGAAACTATTTATAGACATGAACAATAATAACTACATGGTTCCAATGAAGTACATTAATTCTGTTTCCTGAGTTCACTTGTTCTCTGGATAAAATTATTGACAGCCTTACACAGCCTTGGAAAGACTGAGCAAACTGGATAAGAAAAGAACTAAGTTTTTTTCATCTAGTGTATCTGGAATCTAAGTGTAAATAAAAACATGATTGTTCCACAAAGAACTAAAACATAACTCACTGCATCCAGAAACATGTTTTGGATTGTCTGTGTTCTTTTAAGTATCTGCTCAACATAAAGAGATTTTTTTTTTTCCATGTCAAAGAGATGCATGTACTTTAAAGATTTACTTTTTTACTTCATACTTCTATATATAAATACTTACCTTCGTTTCCTTTTGCAAAGAAACAGTCCAATTACCAGGGTAGTGATCAAAGTCACCAGCAAAACAAGAGGAACAATGATTGCAATGCTTCCTAAATCAGGAAAAGGAAAGATCATTGAATACTCACAGCTACATCTAATAATTTCTTCACAGCTGTAAAACAGCTAAATTAATTTTAAGATAATAATTTCCCTCACAAATGCAATTTGGTGTGATGAGCTTCACTGATTTCAGATTTTAAAGCTGATCAATGACAAAAAAAAATAAATCATAACAGATAATGGTGTACATACAAGTACTTTTATCAACAAATCAGGAGCTTCCTCGTTCTGGTTACCAACATACCTTGGACTAATTCTCTGCCCTCATTTTCAGAGACACTGAATGCAGGCGTGTGGAACTGCTGAACAACTTGCATTGGAGTGGCACGGCCATTGACTAACTGCCACCATCATCTTCAGTGGCTGATTGAAGTTACACAACTATTAATTTAAAATATTAAGTAGGCACAGCTCTGATTGAACAACTCCATTATTAGCATTTATATGCTATTTTTTTAAAAACTTTTAGCTGTAGAGAAGTGGAAAGTAGTAAGCAATATTCATTTCTAGATGGTTGGTGCATTTTACTGCATTGTACTCGAGAGCCAATAATTTTGTTATGTTGATACAGGCAATCAAGGAAACTACAATAATGGTTAATGTAGCAGAAACAGTGCACAGATCAGACAGGGATGTTAAAGGAGGGGAGGGGACAGGGAAGAAGAAAATGGGCTTAATATTATTTTGGCAGAAAACTTCACTGGAATGAGACTACCTGCAAAAATAAGGTCAGCAATTGTATCTTTCTAAGCATTTCTCAGCTTTAATCTATGTATCTGGCAAGAAAGAAATATATGCAACAAATAACTCTACGTTATAAAAACTGGCCTTTATAAAATACAGGACACCAATGTGGAATGATCTGCATTTCCTTTAATGTCACAACCCATAACTGGTGGAAAACAAAAACATTGCTGGTGGTTTCATTGGTTACATTTACTGATTTATTAAAAAAAAAATGAAATAAATAAGCTGTTGGCAGACTCTGCTCTACATTACACTCAGCTTAAAAAAAGAACTGAAAAAGATGTCTTGTAGTCTATGTCTTGAAAGGCTTACTGAAGGCCAAGTCAGGTTGTCAGAGGCCCCAGATAAAGTGCTACTGCATAAAAGCTTGAAGCATCCCGAGTTCACTTCAGCTTATGAAGATTTAGCATTTTGTAAAGGACATTACAAAAATATATTAAGATAACATTTGATACATAACTGGATGAAGTTCTACTTAGGAGGCAAAAAAAACAAACAAAGAGGTTAATTTTGTCTTAGCAGGTAAACATTCAAGAAAAAAAAAAGTCATGAAGAAGAGCATGAATTGCCATCTGGTGAGCACAGTGCAGCCTGGGCTCTAGAAGCAGGCACAAGACAAACACCCACTTCCCCACTTGTATCAGCTATTCCCTCAACATGAAATACTGATCTGGGTTCTGGCTGCATTTCTGCCCCTTTCCAGCGTGTAGTGTTATTTCACTTGTTTGGATTGCTAGGAAGATTTCATCTAAGCATCAAGCTGACCTGAATAGTGGGTGATTCATTTTACTGCTCCAGTTGGGTTAAATGTGACCAAGAGACATACAGCAGGATAACACCAGCATGCTCAACACACCACAGGGCACCTTGTCTGGTTTAAACTGCCAATAGTGTAGCAATACCATCCTTTTTATTTTTTTTTTGCTTATAGACATGTTTAAAAAAATATCACAGAAGCTATTCTTACTTTCAGGATGATTTTCAGAGTGGCTAAAATTCAAACCTCTGCAGCCAGGCAGTGCAAAAGTTATGAACTACTTACAACTCTACTTTTGATGCTTCCAGTAGGATTCAAATGGTCAGAGGTCTCATACTGGGTCTCTGCCCAGCAGTGATACCACCAAGCATTTGCCACTTGATACACTTTCTTTAAGGAAAGTGCAGGCTAGCCCTTGAAGCAGTGAGTGTACAGCATATGGATCACAGCCAAACCACCTCATGAAACACTGAATGTCAATCCAAAAGTTGAAAGAGGTCTACATTTGTGGTTGTTGCTTTTTATTTTTCTTTGAGGCAAACAGCATATTTCATGACATAAACTCACATTCTAAAATATTACCAGGTTAAAATTTCTAAACTGAGTCAAATGTGACAAGTGATAGGAGTTATCTGAAGTACTTACTTGTACTGATATTGTCAGACTTGCTGCTTTTGGGAGCTGGCCTCTCACACTGTGTGCCTGACCAGTTGGCTGAACATCTAAAAGGATCCAATTAACATGGGAAAGTTAATAGTTGTCAGCTATTAACACACTAACCTATTAAAGAGACTACCAGCATCTTCTCAAGAGCTACACAAATGACAACAGTGATTCTATAAACAATAAGCTTCATGGAAGGAGTCAGCAGCACTCTGCCAGGGCACTTACAACATCCCCAGTACATTTTTAGTTTAAAACTACACCTTTGTATCTTCAATTCCTGTTATTATCACTGCAATCTTCACGCTGGAGGCTTTTTAAAAATCCTTGAATAATAAAATAATAGGCATAATCTATGGCATATTAAACCAGCTACCACCTACAATGCAATAGTGAAGGAACACTCGAGCTGGACCCACACATAGACAGCTTAGTCCAGCAAGGCTTAGGTGCTCAGGCTTTGACTTGCACCAGATAGTTTTAGGGTCAGCTTTGATCTAGAAGCTCTAGTAGCTATGTCTGTACTGTACACAGCATATCTGACTGGACATAAACTACAACAAGCATCCAGTAACCTGTGTTGTCTCTACCAGCTGGCTCCTTCCACAGTTCTACTTTCCCCTCATTGCTCCAGAAAATGCTGAGTTTCCTATAGAATAGTTCTAACAGCACTGGTTGTAATAATTTACTTGAACAACTAAAACTAATATTTACAAATTAATTGAAGTTCCCCTTTCCTTTCAGATTTGAATATTTTCCTGAAAATTCTGCAATGTAATGCCTTTATCTTTTTAAATTTTGAACTATATAACTAGATATGCATGTGCAGAAATACAGACGTGTGTGTAAGCAGGTGTGAGAGTTAAAGCATAAGGAGCTGCCCTGAAGGGACAGAAGTATCTACAGGCTTCAGAGGGCCTGGACACAGCTTATGTTGAGAATATATGCTTCACGAGCCAGGCTCCTGTATAAGTACACAGTTATTCCATTATAATTTCCTTCTGTGTATATCAATATGCAAATATTTCTTTGTCTGGAATTTGGAATGCTGTCCATGCATGCAAGCTAGCACAAGGAGCCCATGAATGCAGACTCAGCAAATCCATCAAAACAGGTACCTGAATGAAATTCAATTGCTTATTCATCCTGCTGTAAATATGATTAAATTTACTACAGAAACTCAAACTCTCCTTGTGGAAACAGCAGGAAGTCGTCACTTTTCATCTGCCTCTGTTGCATATTGTGCAGTGAATCATATTTTTTTCTAAGTATTTTTGAATAATTTATGAATTTCAACATGGGTTATCTTTAGGAAAATGCAATACATCATTACCTTGCACGCAGGTCTAAAAACTACTGTTGTGTGATGCCTTTGTAAGGACTTAACAAATTGCAGAGTTTAGACGTAGACATGATTCACCACTGATGTTGTTCTATAATACAAGGAGGTTTGGAAAGGTACAAAATATTCCACACAAAAACTGTGGAATTCTTACAGGAGAGCCATAACCATCTTTGCTGGTGATGCTCTTGACTATTTCGTCGTTGCAGATGACTACAGAAGAATGACAGTCAGTTCCTCTCTTTGCTCCTAAGCCTATGCTAGCACAATCCATCATTCAGGAAAATCTCTTTACTGGGTTTCATATCACGTTTGAATTTTTTGGAGGGAACTAATTTTTTTTTTGGTAGGATATGTTATGAAGGTGCTTAACTCAGCCTCTACAGACATAAGGCACAGATGGTCTTTATAAACATGTTTATTAATTGATAGTTCATTCACAAGTTTTCACACAATAGATAAATTAAATTATAATTTAGTAAGTTCTTAATGTTTTTTGAACTATTTAGATAAGATAGATACACACTTAAATTTCCTCCCTCCATTACTAATTAACTAAACAAATTATGCTTCACAATGATATATTTTAAAATTGAAGCCAACTGTACTTCCACTTGCTTACCACCCCTTTAGAACATTCTAACTCACAGGGAACACAAGATTTTAATTTTTTAAATGATGCATCTGAACCATTTCTTTCAGATCCCTTTCTAGCAATGCTATCCAATGGAAATGATTACACTGACAGCCTTCTCTACTTACATGATATTCAAGGAACTTGTTTTTTTTCAAAAGATCACTATTCAACATATGGCTGCAGATTAACTATTTCCAGTTTTGTGGAGAAACACCATAAATCTTTATACTTAGAATATTTTCCTGGCATCCAAACCGCTGGCATGTGACAACCATGAAATAAAGTCTTTGTATTTCTTACTGGAAGTTTTGCATCATTGCTGTTGGGGATTCAGCTGACGTGATTAAAGCTTCTTATGAGAGGCAATTTTCATTTAATACCACACTACTGAAAGGGAAAGATTTCTCTGAGAGTTAGGCATATCTTAAGTCCATACCTAAATCCTTATATCAAAAGTTTCAAATGCTTCTGCCATACAAGAAATTCATTACTATAAATCTGTCTTGAAACAGTTTAAAGAATATCAGATAGTGAGACTAGCAAAATAATCACTATGAAGCATGCAAGTGTAAGCTTATGAGAAAATTGTGTATAATCTACAGTTATGGTCTTCAAAATCTTACAGCAGATATGACACTACAACAGCTGGTGAAGAAAGAAATCCTACAGCTATATATGTAGTAAACAGAGGAATAAAGTAAAGTAATAATATTAGCAGTTCTTTACCTATCCTGGCATTTTAATTGTAAAAGCACTATTGAAACACTTCTGAAGCATTTGATACAAGTCTCATAAAAACACTCTAGCTAGATGCCACTTCATTGTAGTTTTTTCCCCAATGCCTGCTGTCCCCAATGGATTTGATGGGACTGAAGCTGACAGGATGGCAGTCATTGCCTTCTGTACTCAGAGGTAAAATGATTGCCCTTTCATGGTCCAGCAAGCTAGTAAAGACTTGGCTTGGGCAGACAGAATAGAAAAAGAAATCAAGCCCAGGGGAAAGGTGTATTGTCTGCAAGGGAATTTGACACAGAAAATTAGCCATGAGCAGGCACATGAATAACGATGGGGTTGGGACGTGGACAACTGTTCATGCAGGAACATGGGAAATGAGCAGGTCAGACCAGTTTCAATTGTCTTCAGATACTGTAGTCAGAAATTGTTCTTAATAATAACATTTGCTTAATATTAGGACATTTAACCTCAGACTCCTCAGTACCTAGCATGAAGACTGACTCCCAGTTCAGCTTAATCCACAGTATTTTGTACCTTTCCAAATCACTTTGTACCAGGAGCTTCTGTTCTATAGCATTGCTAATAGTTGTATGGTCAGAGCCAGGACATTTGCAACACGGGCAAGCAAAGAGGCATTAATGAAACAGAACTACACAAAGCCCCTGGTTTCATTGAAGGCATTCATGTCATCAAGAACTGTGAAGGAGGAACAGTGCTAATGCCTACTCTGAGCTACACACATACAGATGGAAAGAGATGGGGAGCTTGTGAGTGAAGGATGGGTCAGAGTCAGCTGAATGGTGCAAGGTCCTACAGCCAACATCTGAGGATGCAAACCTCCAGTTCCAAACAGAACTGCTGCACAGATCACAGAGCAACAACACCATAGAGAATGCCACTGTAAAAACTGAAAATAAATGTAATAAGTAAAGGTTGTATGCGGTGAGGAATATTTAGAATTAAGATATTTACATTCCAGAGATTGATCATGCTGCTGTTATGGAATCTACTCATGATTAAAAATGTCTCTCTCTGTTTTAGTATAACCCTTACAGGCACTACACTGAAACACTCTAAACTTAATTTTACAGTCACTTGACCAAAAGGAACCATTTGACTATGAAATGTCTGAACAAGTAGGAAAAATTAGTAAATGGCTAATTTGGTGGCAGTGTGCTGCTTTTTTTGTTGTTGTTTCTATTTTCTTTCCCTTTTTTTGTGCCACAGGCATTGTCATAAAAATATAATACAGCAGGCATAATATGCAGTTGAAAGTGCTTTTGTAGACAACTGCTTTCCAACTCAATATACCAGTGTGTAACAAAAAAATGACAGAAAGCAGCACTGAAAGATTAGTCTAGATGTTTAACAGAATCCATGACACAGGCATTACAAAACTGAGGTGGAAGTGGGATTGAAAAGGTTTCTTACCTATAAATGATATTGCTTCACCATACAAAGTGATTTTCTAACTTTGCCATTCTTTGTAGCCACGATATACATAGCAACGTATAGTAAAGCATCTTAATGAAAGTATCCAGCCTCACTATTTTAAGAATATTTACATTAAATTTGCACTGCAACATGTCTTATCATTAATATTAAAAATATTTGTGAGACGAGAAGAGAACATGTGGATTATAGTTACTTTCTATCTGTATTAAATTGCATTGAAAAATGGAAATCAAAATAATCCCCTTTTTTCCCCAAACTCAGTAGGATGACATAAGATGACAAAATACTTGCACTAAACCAAATCAATAAACTATTCCTTATTAAAACTTTATCAGTACTTTTGGAAATATCCTTTCCTCATACAGGGAGCTGATATTGTAGTTATACCCACAGATAAACTCTCAGAGATACAAAGAACTTTCATAACAATGAAAAGCCAAAAAAAAACACCCCAACTTTGGTCACTAACACACCTTGTACCTTCTCCTCTATAGTTGGCTTTAGTTATTTTCAAATAATAACTTTTCCATATTTATTGTATACATGAACAGACCACACTTTAGTATTTTTGTCTAATGAGCATCACTTGGTATCTTTATAAGGAAAACAAAGTGAAGAAATTCAGTGTAGAAGCTAAGGGATAGAAACTTTCCAATGTTACTTGAAAATGAAATACAGATAACCTAGTAATCCAATAAATTATGAATAGGAAAATTGCATAATCCAAAAGCAGGCAAAACAACATAAATTTGCTTTTGAGGAACCCAAAAATCATAAATTTACTAACAACATAGATGAAAAAAATGAAATGTGGTTTTAAGCATGAATTTTAATTCATGACATTACTACATCATTCACAGTTCCTGCATGGTGTTCCCTGCACAGACACA